CGTCAACAATAGCACTTAAACTTAAAATGTATTCAAGCATAAATGGAAACAAAAACAGTGGATGTTCAAAATTCTGTCTGAAACAGAGCCCTGCAGATTGCCACCTATAACCTATAGGTTATCCCAAATCAAAAAAAAATATCAAGAGTAGTATGATGGAGCACTCTTTTTGAGTACTCTTTTTTCCAAAAGAGTGCTCCAAAAAAGGAGTAATCTCAATAATCCTTTTTTTAGAATTACTCCGGAGAACTAGAAGTGCACGTTCTTAAAAGGACCTTTTTTTTGAGTGAGTAACCCATAAAAAATCCACAACCTAATCCTAACCTAACGTATCTTGTGATTTTTTATTTTCAATCCACAGAACGTTACACGAATATTTGACAAAAGTCATTGAGTTTTTTGCCTTTCAAAGAATTAGGGCGTGGATGACTCAAAATCAGAAAAAGATTTCCCTTGCGCGAAAGTAGAAAGAAATCGAAAACAATTAAGCACAACCTCCAACCTAACCTATAACTTTTGCAACCTAATCCTAACCTAATCTATAGGTAGGTTAGATTACGTTAGGTATAACCTGTAGGGCTCAGGTCTGAAATAAAGGGAAAAGAGAAATCGACTTGAATGGATATTCAAAAGCGGACGTTTCAGCAACCTACTCTTTAAGAACTGAAAAGAAAATCTCTTGAAATCAATTGTCTTGGCATTACTTCGCATGCTATTCACTCTCGCAGGTCAAAAAAGCGAATGCCGAAGTGTCGGATTCTGTTCTCGAAAATCTGACAAAAACCATGTATTTTTTCGGATGTGGGATGACTCATTGTAGAAAAACTAGTTGTATATCATACTTTACCATTATTATCATTACATTCTTGCTTTGGTGATAAACATTTATGATCATTTCTACGCTTGTGGTTGTTATCACTGCCGTTTCTTAAGTGGCGTTTTAGCGATTGTGACATCGTTTTAGAAGAATTCATCTTGAACGAAATCTTGTTGCAAAGATAAACTGTATTTTTTATGGTTGCTTTGTGGGAAGCATAGATATTCAAGAGAGACACGAAGGAGAGTATATATGCACAGCAAATATTATTCCCTAGACTTTAGTCAAGGGTCTTACAAAATGATTGTCTTCTGTGTTGACCAAGACGACCAGAAACCAGTCAGTTTTCATAACACAAAAAAGTCATCTGCAGATAATAAAGGTTACAGTATATAGATCATGGCGAATTGATTGCAGCCCTCCTTCGGATCTTCAGAGGGTCCTCTATGATGAAATTGACTTTTTGAGCTTGTATTGCAAGATGGAAGGTTCGAGCTATATTTTTCTGAATCAGCATTGAAGACTGATTTAGAAAAAGGTTTTCAGTTCATTTCAGAGGTATACCTCAGAAATGAACTGAAAACCTTTTTCTAAATCATGTATTTTTGAGGTCCTCTCAGTAATTTGAGTTTTTCTCCATGAAGAAATGGCTTTTGGAGGCTCGGAAGGTGTTATTCGTAATCAGGTCGTTTAGCTGAATCTGAATATGTATAATATGCCCAAAACAAATTCTACTGAAAGTTTGCATTACCTGCGCTTCTTCTGTGGAATCAGTGAAGTGTAAAACATTTCTCACGTATGCTGGCTGAGATTGCCGACTGAAGGGAGACGTGAGCATTGTCTTCAAGTCAGAAATATTTTGAGATCTTTAGAGGGTCTCGAGAAAACTTTTTAGATTTATATTAGATTACGAAGCCTACACATCAAATCAGAGATATATTCATAACATATTGTAGATAGTCCCCTAGCGAACATGAGCGTTGTCCTCGAGTCAAAGTCATGGAAGGTCGTTCGCAGATATCAGTTCCTAAAGTCAAAGGATCGAGCGAGTGCAGACGAGTGTTACCTTGTGTAATTACATTGCTACATCATCTTACGTTTTTTCCCTGGACTTTAGTCTAATGTCATACGAAACAGTTGACTGTCTCTCTGTGTGTAAAACATGGCAGTCACTTATTCCATGGACAAGCCAATCATAAGCGAGGAACACAAGATAAGCATTAATGCATTTATGTTGAAAATATGTAAAAGACAAATAAGACAAAGTCAGATATCATGCTTATAAATGTAGAATTAACGAGAATTGCATAGAGAAATGGTACAAGTTAAATGTTTAGAGGACGTTACTTTATAGTGTAACATAATTCGAAACGAAAACTTTCTCAAAAATAGGACTTCTTGATTTGAAAATTGTTCGAGTCGAGTAATGAGTCGAGAAACTGTACCAGAATAGCTAATTATTGATCGAGCATCGATGAGAGTAGGTCTGAAGAATTTACTGAGATAGTCAAAAAAGGTCCACAAGACAGTTTATTTTTTACGGTTTTCCCACAGAAACGAGACTCGTGTTGTGAGTCGATCCTCAGAAATTGCAGGTATTACATAGAAAATTTATTTTGAATTAAAAAAAGGAGTTAAACAATAAACGTTAATATCATCTTCATGCGGGATCTGTTCTATTTTCAATACGGCGGAAACTTTTGCGCGCGGCGGTTCCGCCACATAGAGATTAAGTTGATTATCGAGTGCTAGTCCGTATGGAATATAAAGCATGTAAGGCATGCTGTCAGATGTGCCTGTGGAACCAGCAATTGTTATTCCATTGCATTGACCGCTATTAGGAAGTGTAAACCAAATCTACATCGAAAGTACGACAGAGCCAATGAAAACAACGATAAACATGGAAATTTTGTTTTTTTTGAAAATTTCATGAAATTTGGGAAAAACAGCTATTGTAAAGTATTTAATCATTTGTGGCACACATCCCAAAGAAATCTTCGAGATAATGGCCAAAATCAAAATCACTTTCAACCACTTATGGAAATTGATACTACAGAATTTTCGAATACTAATTAGAAAACTGATGCGTATTTTTCACCCCAGGTTGAAAAGCATCCGAAATATCTTACGATGAACTTTATTGAAATATAAAACATGAGGCTACTGTGTACAGCTAGTGTACTAACAAAAGCTCATATATATAAAATTATCTTTAATGGTTTATTAATTTAACTTTAATTTAAAGATAATGCTTTATTATTAGTCAATTTCATATTGGATATTTGCCTTCATATGGCTTGTTGTTGACTATTAATGACCAATAATTTATTAATGCAAAATACATTTGTTTTCGTGCAATTGGATTTTGAGGTTTTTTGTCATATTTCGCAGAACTTGGATGTACTGTGAAGGTGACGAAAAACTCTCGACGAGACGCACCAAAGACGCATTTCTCTACTTCTACCTCTTTTCTAGTTTCAAGATCATGCCCATATAAATCTTTATTCGGTGTGCATGTAGCAGACAATTTTGGATCTGTCATATATAAACGGAAGCTTTCTTTGGGATGTGTGCCACAAATGATTAAATACTTCATAGTATTGTCGGATAATAAAGTCTCCATATTTAGATTATAATAATCTGTCCATTGAGCTTTCGTAACATCAAATATATCTGTACAATACAAAACAGAAAACTTTCGAATGTAGCCTGTATATAGCATATACAATTTTCTCTGGAACAATCGATGTAGTCCTTCATCAGTTAGTTTGAATGAAAAAGCTAAGTAAAGTACCTGCTAAACGGACCTGCGTGGAAATATGCATGTCTAGAAGTCACTGCATGAGAGCGAGGCCAACACATGCTCAATGACCATCTCGGATGGCAATGTGATGGATGGAGGAGACACACAATATTTGTATGTCACTATATAGCAGTCACTGAGTACTATATCCCCTGAAAAAATTGTGGTTCCATCTCTCATAGTTCCAGGAAATCAAGAATTTACGTTTTTTTCTAAGGTAACTTCTCGCATTTCGCTCTTCTGGAAAAAATCGTATTTACCAGGAAGGAAGAGTACACTAAGGCTAAAAACTTGGTTTTACAGGTTTTCACACATCCTCTACACAATGGAATTGGTTTGAAAAACACCTGACATGGTCATTGAAGCAGACGTTTTTCTCATCAATCACTCCTAGAGACGTGTTTTGGGTCATCCGGTACGAGATAGGATCTTGCAAGTTAGTACGAGTAAAACTGTTTTCTCAAACAAAGTCACCAAAAACAAGGGTTTGTTTTTAAAAGTTCCTTTTTTTAATTGGACACTTTAGACTATTTACCGGTAATAGAAAAATTACATGAGAATTCTGAACCTTTTTAAAGATTCAGAATTCTCATCTAATTTTTCAGAAATCCGCTAAGAACCAGATCAAAAAACAAAGTTTTAATAACATTTGTTTATCGAGTTGAGAAAGCTGCAAGCCTCTATTTTTTCTGCTTTTTTGTTCAGAAAATGACACCGTACCTAAGTTTTAGATATAACAGATAAAAGTTCTTACGATTAGGGTTGTATGTTACGGCAACATTCACAGCATCTGTAATAGCTATTCTTTTTGTCACATCATTCGTTAATCTCTTAAATACATCTCGTAAAACTTTGAATGTCAACGATAATTTTGTGTCGTCTCCTGATTCACAAACAACACAATTTTTGTTCACAGGGTTGTGAAGCATTACTATTATTTGTATTATTTCATCTGGTTGTATCACGCGAAAATATGGTGGCTTATCATTTTCTGTTGTTTCATCATACTTAATCAAATCTTGAACGCCAATTCCGATTTTGTATACTTTGCATATCTCCCATATATATTCATTCTGATTAGCATTTTCTGCTAATCTGTTACAACCTGTTATGTAATCTGAACGTTTCTTTTGATATTCATGTCAGTATATTGCCAATGAGGAATCTTAGAAGTTAAGAAACCAAGCTTCTATAGTTATTTTCGAGGGGAAGAAGCAGCTCCAGGTACCACCAGGAAAGCCAGCGGAACCTGGTAGAGCCGAGCGGAACCCCGTGGAACACACTGGGACCCTAGTATTCTTTGTCCTCGAAGATAATCTGTGGATAATCCACAATTTTGCATACTGTCTATTTCCTTAAGGCGCCGCTAATTCAAAAGAATTGCAAGTTCTTATTTTTCACTTAAAACTATATCATTCGATGCAAAATTTCACGGTGATTACGAATATCACCTTTTGAATTGATTTTGATCCAGTTTTGGGG